TCTTCCAATTTCAATTCCAATAACCTTTATTGGCATGACAACAGCTTTAAAGAAAAAATAACAGTACAAGTCAGCCCATATGCCAACAAACAGAAACCATCAAAGTATAGCGATTTGTATCATTGTATATAATAATAATAGGACAAAGTGATAAAAGTTTGGAACAGTAATCTCGAGTAATTAAAACAGTTACAGTAAGAAACTTATCTATCTGAAACGGAATCATAGATACACCTTCTCTCTATCACTTGTCTCAGACTGATCTCTTGACATCTAAAGGTTGACTGGACTTTTGGTCTGAATAATGGTTCTCAGAACCACACTATCACAATGAAAAACACATAATTCTGGCATGAAGTTATAGCTGTGAGAAATACAGCTTTCAGCCTCAACCATTTTAAAGGTATATCCTTGATGGGTTCAAAGGGAGATCTGGTGAGGGCAGAAAGGTAACATTGAGTTTCCATGTGGGAAATCTATGGATTGGCAGGGGGTCTTTTAAGGTGGCGCCTCTGAGGAAGCATTTGATGTGAGAGTGTTTGGAGAGACCCAGACCTTCAAAACAGGGCAGTACCATAGATATTTATATTTATTTATTTATTATTCAATTTATATTCCACCCTCCCCAGAACGGGCTTAGGGCGGCTTACAATTAGGGCACAAAACCAAAATTAAACAATTAGGGCACAAAGCCATGATTAAAACACTAAAAACAGATACAGATAATGCTGTGACTTGTCTTCTCAACATGGATGCCTTTAATTCACTGGTGATTCCATCTTACAGAAAGCAATGTGGGGTTTTAATGGGTTCTTTCCTCCTTTTTTTTTTGGCCCCCCGAAGGGGAATTTTTTATTTGCATTTCTATAAAACTACAACAGAAATTGGGGAGGGAGAGTCTACAATCTATAGGAGAAAGTAAAAAAAACCTAACTAAAAACCCAAGAATGGAGGTTTTACAATGCTTAAAACATAGTTGTTACTCTTATAGTTACTTTTAAACATGAAGCCAACATGAAGCCAATCATCGCTTCTGCTGACAAAACCAGCTTATCTGACTGAACAGAGAGTAATTCCAAAGCTATAACACACATAATCACAGCCCTTAAGAAAAAATTAGCATCTCCACGCTTTACTCCCCCCCCCCAGGCAAGATCTTAAAAACGTTCCTTCAGTAAGAACATTACAACACGTGTTCTAGTCGAGAGAAATAGATTGAGTTTCTAGACACTCTAAATGACTGCGCTATGGATCTTATAAAGTTGGGGTAGCGAGCCCTTTACTCCAGAAAACCGCTTTTCGATCAGCTTGCCAATCCGGCCACAAAGAACTAAACTTTAGAGTCTCCTTACCATTCATACATCTCTATGATCAACGTACTGTCCCTTTAAAAGTGTAGCTGCTTTTAGTACAGATCCAGGTCGCATCTCACTTTAGCCACTAGAGGGCCCACGATTCACTTTAAAGACAGAGTCTATGGTTAGGTCATGTGACCTAACTTTCCACTGTCCTCCTTCCTGAAGAAAGCATTGATCCCGCCTCCCTCTTCGCCTCTCATCGTCATCTTTTGGGGATGTTTACATCAGCCGAGAAAGAATGCCAAAGTCTCTAAGGTCTGTTTAAACTCTCAGCTTTCTTTTAGAAAAATTCTCCGCTACAGTCCATCACCACAATTTGATCAGTCCCTCCATCCTTGCTTTCGCATTTGCTTAAAATGTCGGGAGATAGGACGTCCCCTCCCCCCCTCCGTTTATAGGCTTATAGTAGAGGGACTTCACTTCTAGGCTTTAGTGTCTCGTTTCAATGGCAACTCACTCATCAATCCTTGAATCGATCCACCAGGTCCTAAGACTGCCCCTGGGATCATGCCAGGCAGAGAAAATCGCTAAACCTCCAAATGCTTGTCCCGGTGGTCACTTCTAATCCAGTAGTGGGAATCAAGGCAGGACCTTCAGGGCAGAGAGTAGCACCCCCTGTACCGGCTGCCGGCTTGAGGTAGGGCTCTCCAAAGCCCCCTGGCTAGAAGCCCATTGTCTATGGGCTTCGTGGGGGAGCGTGCGCAATCACGCTCCCTCCTAATCCCTGATTCACGGCACACGTCTCTTGGAGGAATAAATGGAGGAATTCATTCAAAACTCAACATTTAGGATTCAGAAATGTATTCCATAATTCACTCTGCTGTCCACCTTCCTGCATATGAGACTGCTCTACATGACCATGGTACCAAGCTGCAAAAGGGATGAGTTTAATAAAGATATTTCCCCTCATAGAACCTTGTAGCAGGGAAGGCCTCCCTCTATTTGTGGGCTGGCCTGGAACCTAGATACAAAACCGCAGAGCTCTGGATCTGTTCTGAAAACTCTTCCACATCCACCAGAAACCATGGCTCCAACCTAGATCCAAGCAGAATTCTTCTGAGACACCCAAACACCTCTATCACTGGGAAGCCTGCTTTTGAACCCCACTGTGTTCTTAGACTGTATGATGTCTGAACTGCAATAGGAAGCCATGTCATATTAAGGTCAAGGAATTAAGATCAGGCGAAGACTGCAGCAAGAGGACATATCCAGGCGCCCACAGGAACCCTAAATCTCTGTTCAGTGGGTCCATCTTGGCCCCCACCCCCACTCATCAACTTTTGGCAACAGATAATCAGTAGAGTTTGCAAGACAACAATGTATCCTTTTGAACTATTCAGGGATCTCCCATATAAAGCAGATTCCTCCAGAAATCCTTTTCCCAAATCATTAACATTGACCTGTTCACCTTACAATGCAGATTTCACAAAAAAAAAAACCCCATCCTCTACCCATCTTCTGGCTCATTCTTTCAAAAATTTAGTCACTTAATTAGGACTATCTACTCATCTCCGGGTCCATTAGCACCTACCTGACACTCAGGTGACCCAATCACCTCACCTAGATCCCTTATTAGCATCTCACACAAAGGTCCTGTCTGCACTAGATCTCAAATCCTGGTTCAACTCTGTCCCTGAACTTACATTCTACACTACACTTGAGTTCACCCCTGTAATTATCTCGGGGTATTTTTTATTTCCACATTACATTGAGATCACCCCAGTTTCACCCCACACTTACCCAGGGATAAACGGGTGCTGTTATAACCAGGGATAAATGCAAGGTATTGTGCCACAAGTTGAACTCTGATAAAACCAGGGATGAGATCCAAGTGGGGAAAGGACCAAAGAAAGGTTCAGCTCTTCCTATGACAGCGCTGATGGTAATATTTCCTCCAATGGAAAGCTGGTTTCTAATATTGCTCCAACCACAGGGCAACCCTAAGTTTCCCAGCAGCAACAAGGATCCTAAATAATCCCTCAACAGCAAAGAAGAGTCAAAAATGAAGCCAATGACTTTTGGCCTCAGCAGTAAAGGCCCAAATAAAAACTGTCCAAGAAGGTCACCTTGGAGAGGGCAATAGTAGGTTCAACTGAATCCCCAAGATTAATTCTCTGCTGTCAACACTTCAGAACAGAGACACTTCTCCTCCACCTAAATCCTCCCACTGCTCTGGAGATCTGCACTACAGCAAGCAATGTAGGAAGCTCTCTGCTCCATTGCTTTGAGCCTCACTCTTCCCTCTCAGTCCTAGCCTGCTTGCTCCCTGGAGTTCTCTCTTCTACTCCAAGTGCCACTCAGAAACAAACCCTGACCCTCAGCAGAGTCACCATACCATCCTAACACCAGCGAAGGTGGGTTCCACCTTTTCAACTAGTCTAAGGGATGCTACACCTAGATAGTCCCATTTATAGTGATTTACTTGCTGTTGCTTATTCTGCAAATGCTCGCGTGATTTTATATGCTATCCAGTTCCTTGTATCATGGTGATTCCCCAAACACAGTATTTGCATTGCTTTTTCAATCTGCCTACCCCTTCCTCACCTTTGACAATTTTTTATGTTCAGTAAAGAGTGGCAAAAAATATTACTGTCTTTTTCAGTGCCCCCTTCCACCCAGTTTCATCTGATAGATAGATTGTGCTGAGATTGTGTTCATGTATGACCGAACTCAGAGATCTCTCACCCACGGACTCAATATTGTATGTCTGAAGGCCAAACACATTCAGCTTTCTTGCTTCCCAGGTAACACTACCTCATACCTCTACACAGCCAAAGTAGAACAAACCCAGATCCACCTGGTTCCAGTTCAAAAGTGTTCTATTCAGAAACAGGGGCTAAGAATTAATTGGGGCTCCCTTAAGAACTAGAGTTTGAAACCAGGTTCTGAGTGAACCCAGGGGTAACATTAACTCCCACTAATGCTCACATGTCAAAAATCTACAAGATCAGAAGTCTGATAAAATTATTAGTTTTAAAATTATCTCTTTCCTGAGCCCCTCCCCAAGGTAGAGTTAACAGGAAACACCAGTTGTTGTCTTTTCCAGGTGGTCTATATTCAAAGCCAGATGGAACAAAAACTCCTATAGCATCCCTTTTGGTAGTAAAAACCAAACAATGTCCAGCCAAAAACAATGTCCACAAGAACAGATGTCATTCAAGTTGTGCGATCCACGTGACATCCAGTTCTGGCAGATCCAGCAATCCTTAACATTTCAGGGGTGCAGAAGGACCGTGGGGGGGAAGCAAGGAGAAGGTGATGAAAAAACCACTTCTACACAAATTTTGGGTCCCAATAAAACAACCAAAAAGACCCTTAAGGAACACCAGTTATAATAAAAGGACACAGCAAAGTAACACACAGAGATCAGGTGGGGATTGTTAAAGATGTTAACAAAAAGTTCCTGCAGACAAGAGTCCAGGAATAAAAGCACTACACTAAACTCTTCAAGAGCAGCTATTAAAAAGACTCTACTACATAATATCATCTTAACACAGTACCAGGAAAGCCTCTGTGTGGAAGAACTCCAAAGTCTTGGTGCCACAGCATTAGAGTCCAACTAATAGTAGGTTCATACAGGAGATGGCAGGTCTGCTGGAATAAGGCTCCCAATAATAGCGAGAAAGTATTTTCTACACTTACCTCATCGCTTTCCTCTACCTCAATACCACCATCTTTGTCGTCATCCACTTGTTTGTGAATTGTGCGAAGTGCTTCAAGACTGTATTTATCCTCCTCGGTAAAACACGGTGGGGTGAGTAAATGGCAAGGGTCTAAGGACAAAATCAGAGACAAAACATTTCAGTCTTTTAAGCAGCAAATGAAGGAATCAGCAGAAGCCACCCACTTCAACCCCAAGCATCATTTATGTCAGTCCAGCAACATGGAACAGACTGAGTTCACACACCACAGATCACATGAGAATTCACTGTCCATGGTACAGTCCCATGGTGCTGTATATGTGGAAACTTACTAGTGCCACACGGAAGACAGAACTGCAAATTCATGCCCCCTCTTCTAGTCACATGTTGATTAGGTAGAGAAGACCCTTGTGATTGATTGGTGGCTCCAGGTAGGAAACATACATGGAGAAGTAGCTTCCAAGACTTAAAATGCTAAGCTTTCCAGGAGCCTAAATGACATTTAACATAGAAGGTTTACCTATGAGCAAAGGAGATGAAAACTGAAATGCAGCATGTGCAAAAGTTGCTCTATAGGGGGAGTAGAGATGTGAAGGCCCGGAAAAAACCCGGAAAAATTGGGGGGGGGGGACGGCCCCTCCCTATTTTTTTCCTGAAGCCTTTTTTGTTTTTTTCCAAAAAATTGGAACAATTGAAAAAAGAAAAGAAAAAAAATTGATTATGGAACGTTTTATTTTAACATGATGAATAAAATATTTTAAGACAAGGTGTTCAAATATTTTCCCAATCATTTCTAAAAATATGTATGGTATCAGATTGATCTAATTTCTGTGCACTGAGGACAAGCAAGTCCTAGGTTGCAAACTGAACTCTCCAATGCAAGAACAAGATGCATTTCTTCCTTTAGGAGGTGCTGTTGTCACGAGAAAAGAAAAAGGTTTCAGTTTTGTTTTTGCATGTGGGTGGGTATTCTGTTTGTAATAATTCTTTGGATACACTATATTTTTAATATGCTAGTTGTGATAATTTCATGCCAAGTAAAAATGTCCATAGTCATATTTTATGTTCCTAAAGTAACAGAATGACTTTCAATCTGGAAAAGAAAAAAGAAGTGCTAATGTAGCATTTTTTTCAATTTTTCCAAAAAATTTCCATTTCCCCCCGAAAAAAGGTGAGGGAAAAATGGGGTTTTCTCTGAGCTTCAAAATTTCCAGAGATTTTAAATCTCTAAAGGAGAGGAGTGCTAATAGTTTCTCTACCTTATTCCCCCCCCCCCCAACTCATTCAACTACATTGACTGTGGCTTTCTGAACAGCCCTTGGGGACGGGCTTTAAAAAACGTGCATTTCTGCAATTCATGTGAAACATGGCACTGTGCTGTGTGCATTTCTTCAAAAAGGTTGTACCAGTCCTCAATGCAAAAGACACCATGAAAAAGAAGAGTTCACACATACCCATGAGGCAGAAGAACTGCTTCTATATGTTACAACCCCATGCTGCTGTTTATGTAGAAACACCGCAGGCATATAGGTGTGTATACATGAGATAGGGGACTTGGAGGTTCACATGTTTGTTTAGGTACATGCAAAGGAGTGTGCCTAAATATGCAGATATGTGGGGGAGAGAGGTTATAGAGATCTATGTACACAAAAAATGTGTTTGTAAACTTGCATATTCTATATAGTTGGAGACTGGATAGGCTACAAAACCCTGCTGAATCTACTATGGCAATTTAAGGTTTGCCTCCATATAACATGCAAAGTGCCTTCTTTATGGGTTTTATCATCTTGAACATATTTATTTGCAAGCCGGGAATCAGTTCATTAAAATAGTGAACTGTGACACTTGAGAATTGCTTGCAAACAGCTCAAATGTATAATCTGCTAATGAGAGAACACTTAAAGGGCAGGTTATGCAGATGCCTACTTATGTGTAAACAGTGATCTTTGCTAAGAACACTGATAATCAGACCAAAATACCAGCCAGAAAAGTTCTAAAAATAGCAGCTCACGCAGCAAAGACTTCCAAATCCACAGCACAGAAAAAGAGCAGAAGTTTGAAGGCACCACACATTTCATCTACACCTACATAACAGGATGCTGCATGCAAAAAAACACATACTATATGAACTAAGTGTGAATAGCAATTACATAATGAAGGCAATTAATCCACAATATGCCAAATCTTTTAAAAGACAGAGTACAATGTTTCTTTCCACAAATCACTATCCACTTTCATACACGTTGTTAGAAAAATCTAAGAAAGCCTCCAGTCCACTCTTATGTAAACAAGAAAAGGAGGGATGATACCATGTTTTGGCCCACCAAGCAAAAAATATTATTTAATCCTTTTACAAACTTTTACTATCCAAAGTCACTAGAAATGTGACTGGGGAAAAAACCTACTAAAGTTTATTGTTTAAACGCAACCAATTTTGTCCACTATGAATATACTATGTGTATAATTGTACACTATTGAACTCTTCAGTAGTGTACAACTGAATAGAGTTTCAGTGTTATAACTGAGTAGTTATAATGCTGTAATGTTACAGTTAAATGTCATTACTGAATAGTGTTTCAATGTGATAAAGTTTAACTACATATATGTGTTTTATATATTTATTTTACACACACATGGGGTGACTGAGGGGAACCTCCACATTAAGAGGCACTAATCCTCTAAATCCCAGAGCCAGGAGGCAACATCAGGGGAAGGCCCCGGCCTCTCTGCCCAGCCGTCGTTCTTCCAGAGGAACTGGCTGGCCCGTGTGAAACAGGATGCTGAACTAGAGGGACCACTGGACTGATCCAGCAGGGAAGTTCTTATCAGGGAAGGCCTTGGCCTCTATGCCCTATTATTGGCCCTCCAGAGGAACTGATTGGCCACTGTGTGAGACACGATGCTGGACTAGATGGACCAGTGGTCTGGGAGGGCTCATGTTCTTACATTCAGATATGCTACTAATCCTATTGCAATTGTATGAGACTGTTTCTGCTGAAATCATACACTTTAGTCACCACAACATTTTCTATTTTAAACCTTTATTTTCTCTTGCTTTTCAGACTACAAAAACTAAAACACATACTTTGTTTTCTTTTAGTTATTTTTAGACTTATACCCCCTCCCCTGGGTCACAGGGCTCAAGGTGGCTCACAGCACTCTCTTCCAAAGGGAGACCTAGCTGGTCCCCTAAGGCAGTTTGGAAGGGATCTTGCAGGTCCCACTATTGGAGGCTTCAGTTGCCGCTTTGCAGTCATCTGGGCTATTGGCAGAGGATGGCGAGGGAACGTTCCGGCATGGCTGGTACACAAGGGGTGGCTCCGCCCTGCGGAAAGCTGAGTACATCGCTTACGACCTTTAAGGCCTCTGCTGCAGTCTCAATAGTCTCATGTAAAATGTGGCTAAGAATTTTACAGCTCCTGTAAACCGGGTCAATAGTTTTAACCTATGCCTTCAAAAGTGATGGGCTATTTGGGGTCACGTCAATAAGGTTTCTATGGAAACCTGATATAAGATTGCCCTAAATACTAAACGCTTTGACGAGAGGATTCTTGGGAGCGACTCCTCTGTTCCCAGCGTGTCCTACTGAGGTTCAACAAGAACAGCAGAACGTTTTAGTGGGGTTCCCCACACAACCCCTCAGAAGAGGTTCATTCCTCAACTGACAATTGGTCCCTGCAGAAAGCTGTCAGAGGATACTCCAAGGAGTTCACCAAACCATGCTGAAATTCCTTCCTCCCTCTCCGCTCACGCACAAGTGCCAGTAGGAGTTTGCAGAACTCATACTGTTACACATCATCTCTTCATTCAACATCGTTCAACAAAACAATCTATAAATAAAGTAAAATAAAATAGAATCTACTTACAAAACATTAAATTACAGTCCATAAAATTGCACCCTAGCTCGTGCATCTGGATAAAACATAATCATTTGGCACCCAACAACCCAGACCACTGTCAGAAAACAGGCAGCACTGCTAATAGGCGGCAGAAAACTGGCCTCAACCGTCCACAGTGGGCACCACAGAGCATACGGGATGAAGAAAACCAAAGCATTCTTGGGGAGAGAGGCACTATGTGAAGGTGGCAAAGGACACAGTGGGACACTTGCAGTTTTGCTTGTAGAAAACTACAGCACTAATCCATTTGAAATTTCATATAAACACGTGAAATAGCACAATGTTATAAGCAAAATTATTAATTACACCTCTTACATTGATAAAAAGGTGAAATAAATTTGGGCTTGATAAGAAAATAACCACTGCATGTCAATTCTTCCCAAAATTTCTATTCTTGCTCCTATGGCTTCAAAATCCCTCCCCCCTTTCCATGGCTTCAAACATTTCTGCATTATTTTACATTTCTAAAAGTAACAGATAAGGCTGCACGCTTTCACATGAGGCTACAAAAATGCAGGAAGACAAAATGTGAACTAGTCAACTAATCACTACAGTCTAGTCTAATTGAAACCCCCCCTTCCTCTAATTAAGAAATCTTTGGAACTCAGGAAACTTAGGGTGTTTCGGAGGGGGATTCTCTTGTGTGGGCCTATATGATCTGTAAAGCCAAATGCAGATCTATGTCATGTCACAAGAACATGGAGAGGTATTAAAAATTACTATCCTCTCTGCTAAGAAGTGCTATTGCTGGGCTGTCCCTCGCAATCCAAGGAAGACACGATATTGAATTAAACAGCCCCTTTAACTATCCAGCCTGTAAATGAATCAGGCAGGGGGGAGACCAGGTCAGTTCCCCTGAGGACTAGTCAAGACAACATTTGATACCTGCCCCAGAGAAGTACAGATCAAGTTCCCAGAGGCTTTTGAGAGTGAGGGACATTAGGAAAGAGACTGCTTTGCCTGAAATGGAGATAAGCAGTTTTATAAAGAAAAAGATCTGTTCCAAGTCTTAATCCTTTTTGTAAACTCAGAAACAGGATTTTGACCTATATACTATAAACTTCTCTTCTAGAGGCAAGTGACTAGAGATTAGGTATTTAAAGAAACTGATGGTTATCAAAAGCACTGATATTGGACTCAGTGTGATGATCACTTGTTCAAAGTAACAATTTCTTTTTATTCCAGAAGCCAACAAATGCAGAAGTTATCAACAGTGATCTACAGTGGACTGCCATCCAAGGGGAGGGTTGGATTTGGCTTACAAAAAAAGTTTTAAATTGCCAGCAGACAAATTAGGAAAATACAGAACTATTTGTAGATGAAGGCACACCAGTTGTTCCACTGTCATGAAATAGTGGTCCAACGGAGAAGGCACTGTGTTGAGCAGTTGTTGATCTTGCCCACTGCAGGTTGGCACCTGCAGTAGATAAATAGGTACCACTTCGGTGGGAAGATAACAGCGTTCCGTGCACCTTGGTGCTTAGTCATGCTGGCCACATGACCACGGAAACGTCTTCGGACAGCGCTGGAACTTCGGCTTTGAAACGGAGATGAGCACCGCAACCCTAGAGTTGGATTCGACTGGCTTTCGAGCAAGGGAACCTTTACCTTTACCTGCAGAAGACCCTGCTCAGATGAGCAAAGATGACGTGGAGGACCATAAGAGGAGAGGGTCTCACAGATATGAGGGTCCGGGGCCGTGAAGGGCTTTGTATCATTTAAATTGAGCCCAATAACAGATGGGCAGCAAGCAGAGTGGCTGCAGAACGGGAGTAAGGTGCCTGCTCCATCTACCTCTCAATAAGAGCCGAAGTCCAGCTTTCTGCACCACCTGAAAAAGCCGTGTCACACTGATACGGTGATGTCACTTCTGGTGTGAACAAAAAAAAATCTGGACACACACGACCCAATCAGTTAAGCAAGTATAAAGCCAACAGTCGTGATAGTCTGACCCACAATCAGTCATAAGACTGATAAAGAATGCTGTTTATGTATTGCAATCTAAAGCACTATAACATGATACACAACGTCGTCTCCTACTAGGTTGATTAGTTGTAATTTGAAATACCTTGTATGTGTTCATAACAAAGGTAATATTACTATGTTACAGATTCTTAAGAATTGTTGTTTAACATTTACGAAACTGAGAGCTTTGGCACCACTATAATATCTCCTGAAGAAGATTCATTTTTGAAACGTTGTTATGTAATCTGGAGACGACGTTGTGTATCATGTTATAGTGCTTTAGATTGCAATACATAAACAGCATTCTTTATCAGTCTTATGACTGTTTGATTGTGGGTCAGACTATCACGACTCTTGGCTTTATACTTGCTTAACTTCTAGTGTGAACCCATAAATGAAGTCACAGCATCAGTACAATGTTCTAGGAACCCTTCCAAACTCTATGACAGCAGCGGGGACAGTTTTTAAAGACGTTTGAGGAAATCCAAGAGAGCATCACAGCAATGCAGTGACTTCTCTTCTGGGTTTTGATATAATTTTTTGAATTATTTTCTCAAAAAAGGTGGGACACAGAAGGGAAGAAGGGGTGGGTGGGGGGAATATAGACTCATTAGGTTTGTCAAATATTATGAGTTGTTACGTACAACAAGTAAAATCAGATGTATTACCAACTGTATTACATATTACAAATACAGAAGCAGACAATAAAACATCAATGTTACAGAACTTTGGGCTAGATTCTCTCTTTAAAGAATAAACAAGAACTTTTCTAAAGTTAGCAATAATCTATTAACGATAAAAGAAATTACAGTTTTAACAGCTAAACAAACTTCCATGCCTTCTCGGCTGTGGCCCCCACCTTGTGGAACGGCCGGCCCGAGGAGGTCAGGGGAGCTCACGCCCCTCCTGGCTTTCCACAAACAAGGAAAAACTGAATTATTGAAGAGGGCTTTTCTATGCAAGCAACAGATGGCACTGTACACAATTATTCACAGTTACTTGGACAAATTATTAGGGACTGTGGTCTATACTGTGTAGAGTTTGCTGTAAGTTGGATCCTACTATCTACTTTTGCTTTTTTCTATAGCAGCCAACCAGATGCTTTCAAGAAACCAACAAGCATCACACAAAGGGTAATGCCCCCAGTATGAACCCAAGCAAGTGGGGATTCATCTCCTCCTCTTCCGCCAGCTGAACCAGAGCTGGCGTTGAGGAGATGCACGGGAAGGGTGTGTGTGTGTGATAGGTTGAAGAGATACTTGAAGATGGCGGTGAAGAGGCTGGTGGCAAGGGGCTATGTGCAGGACGAGGGTCGTGAGGCACTGCAGGGGGCTGGGCAAGAGGATGGGCTGCTGAAGGAGTGACACCAAGACAGAGCCCCATGCACGCACGCACCTCTTTCCATCCTCCTCTCGTTTTTTCCATGGCATGCTGAATTGCTCCCACCTACTCTCCAACCTTCTGTGTGTCCCCCCCCCCTTCTTTCAGCTACTACTGTGTACTTACTAGCTTTTGTCACAAGGGGGGGGAATTAAATGTGAGTTGGTGAGGAGGAAAGAAAGAGAAGGTCACAAAGGGTGGAAACTGCCATGGGGGGGGGGGGGGCTGGCCTGCGACCCACTTTTGAGTCCCAACCTGCAGGCTGGGAAACACCGGTCTATGGAACTCCAAAGCATAAACTTATTACCTGCCCATCCCGCACAATATCTTCAAAGAGAGAACTTAAAAATTAAAACAGCAGAAGTGTGTTCTGCTTTTTCAGTGTAGCCGTTTCCCAAGTCCCAAGGCCTAAGCTATTTTCCAATTTCCGCATTTGCTTTTTGTAGGAGGAGGAGATTGGATTTATACCCCGCCCTTCACTCGGAGTCTCAGAGCCGCTTGCAAACTCCTTTCCCTCCCCCTCCCTACAACAGACACCCTGTGAGGTAGGTGGGGCTGAGAGAGCTCTTTTGAGAACTGCCCTCGAGAGAACAACTCTGACAGAACTATGGCTTGCCTAAGGTCATCCAGCAGCTGCGAGTGCAGGAGTGGGGAATCAAACCCGGTTCTCCCAGATTAGAGTCCACGCACTTAACCACTACACCAAACTGGCTCATTTGCTTTTTGTTTTCTTGGCTTGCAGACATTTCTTCATAGCAATTTTCCTTCTTCTTCCCCTGCACTGCTGTGACAACCCAGGCAATTTTGGTCACAGGCATCAACGCAGTCATCGTGATGGATGCAGTGTTGCATCACTGACAAAAAATCACATGGGCCACCATAGTCAGGTTACATGGCAGTGAGGGCAAATAGGAAAGAAAAACAGTAAACAGCAGCGGCTAGGAAAACAAAAGAGCATGAACAGCATACAAACATAAATGCATTTAAGAAAAATCAATCAGTCACAGGTGCTGAAAAGTAAAGAGAATAAAACTCAACAGAATAGCCACTTTGTGTGAGCTAGTAGAAAGACAAGACAAACTGTTGGGTGATAGTGAGATATTAAAAAAAATGGAATTTAGCAGAGATAAGATAGTCCAGCAGAGCCAGAGAAAAATAATTCAGACTCAGAGTCCATGTGTGATTAAAATATAAAGTTTTTACTAAATTCTAGCATGGGAAGGGTAACTGGGATGAAAATAACAAAAGAGCATAATCGACTACATCCTTACACTACAAAGACAAAACTAGAAGAGAGAGATTATGGCTGCTCTTTTTCTTCTTCTTGAGAACACCAAACAAAGACGGGAACAGAAGGCATAAAATGGTAATACACCTTGACACTTTAGTCCCAATCAAATTCCTAGATCAGGGAGAAAATTCCCGGGCTTTCTACATCTAAAGAACATTGGTTACATGAGAAACATGTGAGTTCCTGTGAGTAACATAAACAAACATTTAAACCCAGATATACTGAGTGTTTTCAACTTCTAATACCCAACACAAACTCAATGAATGAACGAAAGCTATT